TGAAGAGGCTGCGATCTGGCAGGGGAGACACGCGCAGATACTCCCTTTAAAGGCCCTATCACACTAGCAATTTTCCGTTAATTTCTGGGGTTCCGTCTGAATTTGACTTTCCGCAAGTTACGACCGTTTCCTTCTGACTAATTTCCGTGTTGATCTTGTGCTATTCATAAATTAGATAGGATGAGTAAATGTAAACATAAGCTTATATTTTAGAACATTCGCATGTACAATATACATCATCATATTTCTTTAAAATAACGTAATGTGTATGAGAATGTTCGTGTGATTCCCGGGACCCCACACTCCGAGAGCGCCATGTTTGTTTACATGATTTTCATACGGAGTTCATTCGGAAACGCAAAAAATTGACGGAAAAAGTGCTAGTGTGATAGGGCCTTAATAACGTGCCAACCTAGCCGGTGGAAGCAGCTGAAAACAAGAAAGCACGAAGCGTTTAATACTGTCCTATCCTAACCACACCATCGCATCACATCGTCCTTATTCCTAACTTAACCCATCCACTCGCCCCCATCACCTTTACCTATCTTTATACCCTTTCCGATACCATCTTATTACTATACGACTGTTGATATATAACACCTAATCATTAACTCACCCAACTCTCTACCCTTTCTGATGGTATACATTCCTTTCGTGCTACAGAACCTTCGATGTCTAACGCAATTATTTTGCTTTTAACCATTAGCCATTAACCATTAACCATCACATCGCCCTGAGCATCTGATCTCCAGCCAGTCGATCCGTGCGACATACATCCACTTGCTTGTAGAAAGGTATGAATGAGAATGAATATCTTCACAATACAAGAGGTGTATTTGACCGGTTTCGAATATAACTTCGGCACGTATTTCTGACGAAGATGATATTCGAAACCGGTCAAATACACCTCTTGCATTGTGAAGATATCTATCCTCATTCATACCTTTTCTACCTTTGTCAACATGAATACGGTTCATCCACGCACTTCTCTCTTGTGTTCTCTACATGTTATAGTTCAACTGCCTTGTTCTAGAGCGGTCAGCGGGAACAAAACTCACACATGGGATCCAGCACTGTTTTTCGAGGGCGCGAAAGAAATGCTCACTAGAATTTTTTTTGATTTACGCCTTTCCTTACTCCATTTAACTTTGTATTAAAGTTGTGAGTATTGATGAATGATTCCACGGTGCTAGATATGTAATTACACTTTCATCAGACCTTTAGGTAATTTTTATGATAAATGTAATATCAACTCGTAAAAGTTACACATTGTTCGTGATATAATTTTCTTTCTCATCCAGACATTTTTGCCATTGAATACAATAATCCTAACCCAGCTCTAATCTATTAACTAAAGCCGTGACTTTGACGTAGAGAATGGAACCTATGGCAAGTTGTATTTTGACGCAAATGTTAATGCCGGTAGTGTATTATAAAAAAGAAAATCGATCTTTTATCGTATTGTTTTGCTTCTGGTAGATAAGAAATAAAACGCTATTCCATGATTCTCTCTCTCTCTCTCTTCTCTCTCTCTCTCTCTCTCTCTCTCCTCTCTCTCTCTCTCTCTCTCTCTCTCTCTCTCTCTCTCTCTCTCTCTCTCTCTCAATATATATATATATATATATATATATATATATATTATATATATATATATATATGTATATGTATATTATATATATCACATCGAACCAGAAAAAAATATGTTTACTTTGAGTACAAAAAGTAACTATGTTTTTAAAATGGACTAATTCAGCGGATTGAACAAATTATGCTAACCCGAAAGGAAGAGAGAACTAATTGAGTGAAAAAACTGAATAAAATATAACTGCCTTTATTGACACTTGAAAGTCAGCAAATTGGAAATCCTGTTTTCATTATGATTATTATAACTATTATCATTATTACTATCATCATCATTCTCATCATTGCCATTATTATCATTGCAATATATTTTGTTCCATCAATGAACAAATTCACGTCCACTAATAGGCAGATGTCGTTGACGTAGACACTGAAGTCTGGAGAACATTAAACATCTGCGACAGGGTGCGAACAGGTGTTTCCTTAAGTGTCACTTCATTTGTCAGCATTTGTGCACTTCGTTTGTGGCAATACAGGACATTCCCACAGCATATACACATACGCATAGAGACTTTCGGACATATACATAACATATAGATACATAGACATACACACACAGGTATGAGTCACGAGTGTGTGTGTGTGTGTGTGTGTGTGTGTGTGTGTGTGTGCATATGCTATATATGCATAGGATATATGATATATATATATATATATATAGAGAGAGAGAGAGAGAGAGAGAGAGAGAGAGAGAGAGAGAGAGACTGGGGTCCACATATAGGAGGCAATGATTAAAAAGAAAAGACGTAGCTATAAGAATGCATAAAGAATAAAAATACACCACAGTTCGCGTGCTCGCGCGTGTGTATGTGTATATGTGTGTATGTGTGTGTGTGTGTGTGTGTGTGTGTGTGTGTGTGTGTGTGTGTGTGTGTGCGTGTGTGTGTGTGTGTGTGTGTGTGTGTGTGTGTGTGTGTGTGTGTGTGTGTGTGTGTGTGTGTGTGTGTGTGTGTGTGTGTGTGTGTGTGTGTGTGTGTGTGTGTGTGTGTGTGTGTGTGTGTGTGTGTGTGTGTGTGTGTGTGTGTGTGTGTGTGTGTGTGTGTGTGTGTGTGTGTGTGTGTGTGTGTGTGTGTGTGTGTGTGTGTGTGTGTGTGTGTGTGTGTGTGTGTGTGTGTGTGTGTGTGTGTGTGTGTGTGTGTGTGTGTGTGAGGGTGGGTGTGTATTTGTACATAACACATTTATTTACATAGTATATATATACACATATGTATATATCCATACATATACACACAATCGTATGTTTATGCATATTTATATATCTATACGCATAACAGTTCATTCAACGTGGAAATTATTCTGTAAAAACACAATGATGAAATCCTCTTTGCTAAAGGAACCCACGGGAGCGTTCGCGGATTCACATTCACGTATCCGGGCCGCGAACAACACCAGAAATTGAACGGACAATGAAAAATGGACGTGAAATACTGGTTGTTTTGCAGTTAAAGAGTTGAAGCGCCCAGATTTTACAGCCAGGTGAAGAAAGCTACACGAATTCTATGTGAAGTAATACGTCAAAGGTAAGAAAGGGTGAAACATAAAGTATAGAACACCAAACAGGTTGAAACATGTTCTCGAAGGTTTGTTTATGTTGAGTTCTTGATTTGTTTTGTAATTTTGTAGCTCTAGAGGCTTTGACAGGTGCGGCCGCCAGGAGTTTTGGTTGTTTAATGATTATTAGTTTCGTGTTTGATGTAGACTTATGTGTTAAGTATCGTCAGGATAATGGGTAATTGTCCTTAACCATGTTCGAGCTTGTACTGTCATTGTCATTTGTTCTGTATCTGTCACTTGATAGCCGAATTCTTTTAAGTCAGAATGTCTCTTTTGTAAAGGCTGTCACATTTCAAATATTTAATTTTTCATCCTCAAAAAGATTAATGATGGGTAGTTACCTAATTTGCAGTGATTGGGTTTGTCCTTTGGGCATGGCCTGAGGGGATGGTTGATGGGGGCTATGTCCTCTAACATATAATGAGAAACATTGTCTTCAGTTCGTATGCATGGCAAAATAGAGCTAAAGCTTGGGAGGACCCAGTGGACTTTGGCTGGAAGTGGCACTCTCCATAATATCTTTCCTTTATGTGTCATTATCGTTCGTGTACGCAAATTATTTCCAGTACCAATGACTACAACTTTTTGTCCTTTACAAGAATAACATCTTCAATTTCCCCTACCGTAGTGTGTCCATACTTTAAGATTAACCGGGTTGTTGTTTAGAGTAGGACTACAGGAAGTTATTGTGTTGCTTATGTGTTTTTGCTCTGGTAAAGACCAACTATCCATCCTCCGTTTATTATCAGTAAAATAACGCTAGGACTGGTTCCTTATTTGATGAGCTGCGAGGGATTTGACCTGTCTTGCCAGAATAGAAATGTTAGCGGTACAATTGCTCTTGAACATGAGATACTAAAGGTGAAAGCCAAAAGCAATACTGGACTTGTATAAAATTACCAACCTGTCCACATGACTTAAATCTGTGAGCTTCATTTAGAGATTGTTGCTCTAACGATACTTTCAGTTGATAAGAGGAGTAATAATTATTATATCAACTTAATTACTAGATAGAAAAGGTGAATATAATGTAAATTTAGTCAAGGAAAAAAAACCAGTTTACTTGATCTTTTTCAGGGTTAGATTAGATTTGGTTATTATTATTTATTTATATATATATTTTTAATAAGGTGAACCCCATGTTGAGAGTATGCCTCCAATCTTTCCATAACTGACTAAGCCCAAATGCATGTTTGTCAAGGTACTCACCACCAGAGATATAGTCATTATGTTTAGAATTATGGAAGTGATTTCATTGTTATGATATGTAAACTGATGTAACCATGAAAAGAATGATTTTGTAGGTGTTTCTTTTCCTAAAAAGTTGTACAGATAGGTAATGACTTACAAGAAATATGTCTGTATTTTTATACAACATTGTCATGTATATATCAGGTATAACAAAATAACAGACAAAACAAACAGTTAAGGAATATATTTATTTAAAAAAATAATATGCCAACAATATGCAGTCAGTAAGTAGGTGATGACTCTTTCTAAAGGTCAAACAGAACAGAAAAGACAGTAAAAAAAAAAAATCAAAAATATAATAAAATTCTTGTCCAAACAAGGAAGAAAATGAAAATAAAAAATCAGCATCCTTATTTCAGATATTGAAAAGATGACAACAGAAGCAGACAAGGAAGAAGTGGAGGCTGCCATGCAGGCCATGATGGATGACAGCTTTGAGGAGGACCTGCCTGAAGGATGGGATGAAGGAGGAGAAGATGACCACAAGGATGACTTTCCTGATGATGATTTCCTGATGATGACTTTCCTGATGATGAGTTTCCTGATCATGATGATGACTTTGAAGGAATGGATGACAAGAAAGGGTCAGCACTGGTAAGGCGATGATGAGATTTTATGAAGAATTGAGTAAGAATGACCTAATCTCACTTGGTTGGATGATATAGTGGTATTTCATATTTCCTCTTATTTTACCTCTCTTTTGGAAGCTATGAGAAGTTCATGAGCAAAAGCAGTTGATATTTTATTTTCAAATTTGTATGGAAGAGGAGAATTGTGGATTTAAATAAGGCCAAAGAAAAGAGAGATATAGAATATTAAGTGAAAATAGAAGAGATGTAAATGAATCCTTTTCTTCTATCACCATTTCTCTCAGATCCTTCATTCAACAGTAGCGAATGATTCTGATTATGTTGTGACGTCTTGAATCCTCTTTCTTTTCAGGACTGTACGACAGTATACGAGGAGGAGACACTACCCTCGGGAATCCCTCCTCCTTCCAAGCACCACTTGGAAATGCTTCAGAAGGCCTTTGGCCATGCATCCTTTAGGCCAATGCAGTGGAAGATCATACATGCTGTGTTGCAAGTTAGTTTTTGTGCAGTTTTTGAATTTTTAAGCATATTTTTTTGTCTGCTTTGGTTTTGAATATATATTAATATTTTCTATCTGTAGAGATTTCCTTACCAGCTTATTTTGGTGTGTATTTTTTGTGTGTTTGTTTATTTGCTTATGTGTTTATTTAATATTTATTTACATATAGATTTTGTACTTCATTTATTGTTTTATAGATTTATGTTAATGTGGTCGATTACAAAATTTAAAAGATTATAATTTGTAAATCAGTTTTTTTTAAGTTTCTTTGAATGTGGTTAGAAGACTAAGAAATAGATAAGTTTTTTATGTTAGCTATAGTCAGGTACTGTACAATGAATTCCATAACCCTTACTACATATATCAAAACTTTCTTTTCTTCTCAAGGGTCTTGACAACTGTGTAGTGATGGCAACAGGCTCGAAAGAGCTGTGTTTCCAGTTCCCGCCAGTGTACACAGGGGTGTGGGCAGTGGTCGTCTCACCTTTGATCTCCCTTATGCAGGACCAAGTACTAGCTCTTCAGGTGAGTGAATAGTTTTTTGTATGACACAAGTTTCTTGTGTAAAATGTTACAAAGCTTGGTAGTTATGGTTTCATTTTATATAGAAATGTTTGAGATTGAGTCTGTAGTGGATTGATTTGTAGAAAATTAGTTGGGCAAATTTCCTTTTTACAGGAAGAGCAATTTAAGAAGCTAAAAACAATAACAACAAAAAATAATTTTTATGCCTATAAATAGTCAAAAGTGAAGTGTGTGTGCTTGTGAATAATTATTTTGATGTGCATCCTTATACGTAAAAAGCTTCTATTGTTCGTTTTGCAGGCTCTAACATAGGAGCATGCTACTTAGGGAGTGCTCAGAAAAATAAGTCTGAAGTGTACACAGAGATGTTTGCAGGGATGTACAGAATTGTATACGTCACTCCAGAATTTATCGATGGTAAATAAATTAATTGAATGCACTATCAGTATACAATCTGTTAGTAGAGTTACTCAAATAACTAATTGTATATGTAGACTATTTAAAGTCTTGACAGATTTTCCAATTCCTTATGAAATATTAGAGTATAATTCATATTATTTAGTAGTAGTGCTTGTAAATTGAATACACGTTTTTGGTAAATAATACTTTAAGGGTCCTCTTGAATAATTGAATTGAGTTTAGATTTATGATTTTTATTGCAGAGAGTTTTGAATAAAAGAGGATAGGAAATTGTAGGTTCTTATATATACATTTTTGGCAGCATCAGTAGGATATTCAAAATTCTAAGTGCATGGTTACTAATTGCATTTATAACTGAATGACTCGTTTCTTCAGAGAGTATTAGCTTTATGAACTCCATTTCCTTTTCTTCCAGCCTGTCCTGATGTGTTGAAGACACTCAATAAGAGAGTTGGAATATCACTGTTTGCTGTGGATGAGGCTCACTGTGTAAGCCAGTGGGGACATGACTTCAGGCATACGTACAGGTTGGTTTAGCATAAATATGTGGTGCCAGTGTTGTAGTCTGTCTGAGGTTGTCCTCATTTTGTATGTTTTATTTTGTATCATACAGAATTGTGTTTTGTCACAAGGCAAAATATGATTTTGGAGATGGTAAGAATGCTGAAATGATGTTTACTTATCTTGCCTTCTGAAATGATTTATTCCTATTAATACTGTTATCATTATAATTGACTAATGATGTTGTTTTATCCAATTTTCACATTTTTAAAAATGTTTTGGATTTGTGAATGATGGGAAGTTTGCTGCTGCTAATATGATGTTTTTACAATAATCATAATGATCGTAGTTTAATCATGCATACATTGATCAAACATTTATTTAGTGAAGACAGGTAGGCCTAAGTGTGTAATGTGAAAAGTAATTCGTGAAAGCATTATTCAGACTAAGGATATAACAGTCACCACCTTGCTTTTTTTTTTTCTTCTATGGAAAGTCAAAATGTACTGCTATTGTCACCCTGTACAATGAACAATGGCAGCTATGTATACTTCATATATGAATTAAAAATGTTATGTTTCAGGCGACTGGGAGTTCTCAGGACAGATTTTCCGAAGATTCCCATTTTAGCTGTCACTGCCACAGCTACTAAGACGGTGCGGGAGGACATCTGCACGTCTCTTGGCCTGAGGTAGGTGTGCTAATTTTAAGGTGTAGAGTTTGAGAGAGTATTATGTTGATTGATTAGGATTGAGGGTGATATACTCTTAACCCACTAATGCTGGTATATTTTGAAGCCGAAAATAATAGTTTCCAGGCGGCTACAAAATCGGCACATGGGGCTGGCCCCATGATTACAGTCACAGTGATATTGATACCTAGAAGCACTCAGAGAGTGCATATCTCCAACAAGGCAATAGGGTCACTGATGAAATAAATATATTCACACATGAAGAATTACATTAAAACCACCTTTTTCTCAAGTATACTGGTGACATCCGTAAACATAACCACCTTGGTGGAGGTAATAAAGGTAATGATAGTAATGATAGTTACCCCTATTGCTAAGGCAGTGGGGGGTTACTGATGCAGTAATTTAAAATTCTGGATCATGATATGGATCACCACCAAATTTAAATGACATCCAAGTTTGGCTAAGACACACCTTTGGTAAAAATTTCATAAAATTCTGTTCTTGACTTTTTGAGTTATCCTGCTAACCAAGCAACTAACAAACAACGCTACCAAACTAGCTTTAAATCGCTGAAGTGAGGAGAGAGAGAAAGCGGGAAGAGGTGGGGTAGTGGTTAAGACTAGATGAAATAAATCAGACAATAGCAGACTTTATTTTTTTTGACAATCAGCCCATATTAACTGTGTTATGTATTTCTCATTTTTTCATAGGTCACCAGAGATTACCATCACTAGTTTCGATAGGCCGAACCTTTATCTGGAGGTGAAGAACAAAGTGAAGGGTATTGTAGAGAACTTCACTCCCTTCTTGGTCAAAGAAAGTTATGGGAGATACACCACAGATGGACCTACCATTGTGTACTGTCCCACTAAGAAAAGTACTGAAGAGGTGTATCAGGCTTTGGCAGGTCTGTGTGTTTCTTTATATTTATTTTTTTTAAATATTTTTTATGTGTATTATGTTTTTGTGTTTCATATTTTAGAATAGTCAATGATTAGGGATAATTTGAATTATTTTGCATTCATTTTTCTAGCCAAAAATTACAGTTGTACGTAATTGTTATTACGTGTCATACTTTGAAATAGTTTTAGAGTCCTTCAGACTGAATGTTTTGCATTTCCCTCTCCCTCTCCCTCTCCCTCTCCCTCTCCCTCTCTCTCCTTCATATCTTTTGTTCTTTATGCTTCTCTTGCTTATATTAACTTTCAGGATTTTTTCTACATTAAATTTTTATTTTTTTCTTACCTTGTTGAAAAAATATGTCTGTATAGATTTTTTCTGCAGGTTTGGGTGTAAAGTGTGTAAAGTACCATGCAGGTATGACACCATTGCAGCGAGACGAAGCACACAAGCAGTTTATGTATGACAAGGTTGGTAAATACTTCCCCTTTAGCATCAACTGAAGATTAAGTTTTATTTATCATGGTTTTAATGTTTCCATTTGAACTATGCCTGTTTCATTTAATATTATCAAGTCTTTGCTGTGTGTATTCTATGCACTTTTGTACGGTTTTATTATTGTTTGATTGACATCCTCTGAATTATTGATAACAGTAAACCTATAGATCTGAAGGTAGTTTAGTTCTGGGATTCAAAGACATTTGATAAATTGTTGTCCATTTTGTCACTTGAGCCTAGCCATTTCTTTTCATTCCCATGTGTAATATTTGTTATAAAATTTGTTTATAAGATTTTATTTTTAGATATCCTGTTTCAGTGAAGAATTTATTTATTATGTTTACATTCAACTAATACAATTGGAGGATGACAGATTTTTCTTTCTTTCTATTTTGTAAAATATTTTTACGTTTCCAATAATTTCTTTTCTCCAGGCGGATCTGATTGTTGCCACCATTGCATTTGGCATGGGTATAAACAAACCTGATGTTCGGCAAGTCATCCACTATGGAGCATCAAGTAACCATGAGTCTTACTATCAAGAGATAGGTCGTGCAGGACGAGATGGCCTTCCATCTGTATGTACCGTTCTCTATGCACCTGAAGACTTTGCAGTGCATCGGTGAGTTCAGTTTTGTGAAGGAACTGTTAATGACTTATGTTGGGGAGTATTAGAGGTAGTGTGGTAATGAATTTAAGTATTCATGTGTATATATTTCAAAGCAGCACATATATAGAAAAATAAAAAGTAGGAAATATTTATACAGCAATAGGCCAGAGATCAGCTTACTCCAGCAGCAAAAGGTCTACTGAGTCCCAGAGAAAGGGGATGGTGTGATTGTTTACATGTTTCAAGAGGGATTGGCTTATGGTCTTATTTCTAGATTGCGAAGACATGTTTCTAAGTATATATTCAGTGTAGATTTGTTTTACTTAGTCTGGTAAACTAAATTTGATTCCATAACTATTTGCTTTCATGGAAAGTAGATGAATATTCTGCAACTTTCTCAGTTGGGTGTAATGCTTTGGATTGAATTGAAAAAAGGCTATGTAATGTTGTCTGAACAGACAGAGAGAATTATGGAAGGCAGTATGACCATTATATAGAAAAAATATTAATGTGAACAAATAGGTATTTGGTGTGTATCAGAAATACATCTATTTATGATGGTGATATGATTGAAATGTGTCAAGTTCATCTCTTGAAAATATCTATTCCCATTCATTTTTATACATTTTTTTGCATTGAAAACTGTTCAGACGATTGAAGATACCATTCTCACCATTATTTTTTTCTTTCTCTGCAGTTACTTTCTGAGCCAGATAAAGAATCAGCGATATCAGGAACGCCGGAGAGAGATGATGACTAGGATGGAGAAGTTCCTAACCATAACAACCTGTAGACGAGCAGAGATCCTCTCCCACTTTACATCCCGACCCCCAGGCAATACTCCAAAGAGTGACTGCTGTGACAACTGCACTCGCATGTGAGTAATCTGATGGGAAGGATGGAGAGAAATGGGGTAGAGAAAGAGTGCAGGGTGTTCAGGGTATAGGAGAGGGGAGATTTATGGGATGGCAAGTTCATTTTTTCTTTTCAAAACTTAACAAAACATTAGAAAAAGGGATTTTAATAAAGAACAAAAAAAGGTTGTAAATGTTTACTTAAAGGAGTTACTTGGGAAAGTAGAGAAAGAGAAAGAAAATTATACTGTAGTGCTAGAAGTGGTTATTAGAATTTTAGACAAGAATCTTTAATATGACATTCATTTTTTGTGAGGTTCTTTCTTTATGTATTTATTTCGAAACTCTGCTCTTCTTTTTTCAAGAGTATTTAAAAAAGTGGGATTTCAGAATTAATGAATCTTTCTAGTTTAGTCTCTTGCAGGAATTGCTTGGTAGTATACCATTTGAAGGTGAAATAGTTTTCTTGCCTTTTAAGTATGATTTAGATAAAATGTTCTTCTTAAGGATATCTCGTAGAGCAATGTTATAATTCCTTTTTACAGACTGTCAGGTGGAGGAGTCAGCAAGGGTCAGAGCAGAGTTGAAGCAGCACTTGATGATGAAGGAAAATATGACTTCACCGTGGATGCCATCAATCTTTTGAAGGCAGCAGATGTGAGTAATTCCAAAGGAGACAACAGGAAAACTCACTATAAAGCAAATCAAATAAAATTCATTGTTGTAGTGCTCACATAATTTGTTTTTGCACTTGGACTAAAGTAGATAAATTTTAGAGGTGAAACAATAGTTTTTTTTTAATGTTTCCTTTGCAAGTCATGATTTTAATTTTTTTATTGAAATGAAGCAGATATTTGCAATCTTGATTACTGTAGTCCATTTTTGTACTGTTACAATGTGAGATGTATTATATTTATTTACTTTTTCTGTAGGGTTGTAATGGACAGTGTGCAGTAGGGTCACTCATCCTTGTGCTGAAAGGTTCAAACAACCAACGGGTTCGACCGCAGTGGAAGAGAATAGAGTCCTTCGGTGCGGGTAAAAAGAGGAGTGATTCGTACTGGAAGGCTCTGTGTAAGTATGGAAATTACTTTATAATTCAAGCACACAAAGTAGAGTAGGGTAAAAACGATTCTGCGGAGTATTCAGTTTGCAATGTTTTACTGCTCCAGAGAAATCATAGGATTTTGACTTGAATTATTATTATTATTATTATTATTATTATTATTATTATTATTATTATTATTATTATTATTATTTGTTTCATTGTTTATCATCATCGTCATCGTCATCGTCATCGTCATCGTTATTATTTATTATTATTATTATTATTAATATTTTTATTATTATTATTATTTTTATTATTATTTTTATCATATCATCATCATCAATCATCATCATCACATCACCATCATCATCATCATCATCATCATCATCATCATCATCAATCATCATCATCATCATCATCATCATTATTTTTTTTATTATAACTATTATTATTTATTTATTATCATTATTAAAGTTATTATAATTATAGTTATGATTATAATTATAATTATAATGGTAATTATGATTGTAATTATGCTTGTAATTATGATGATGATGATGATGAGGATGAGGATATAATAATAATAATGATAATCATAATAATAATTATATTGTTATAACTATTGTTGTTATTATTAATAACTTATTGCTCCCCTTTCTTACACTGTAAGAATAATGACAGTATAATGATACCCTTCATTTTTCATGAAAAAAAATCATTCATATTTCCTTCATCATTTGTGTACTCTTTTGCATTTACTTATTTATTTTTTTTTTGTGCAGGCAAGATGTTGGTCTTTGCTGGCTATCTCTCTGAGACTACCATAAGCGGAGGGGGTGGTGGAAGGGGGAGGGGAGGATGGGGGAGGGGTACCTCGACATTCGCTTATGATGCCATCGGGATCACCAGGGAAGGAGATAGGGCGCTGAGTAACCCCAAGTGAGTGTTATCTTTGCTGGGATTTTTTCTTTATATTTTTAATTTTTTACTTTTTTTTCCCCCTGTAATCTTGATGCTGACACTAGATATTTTGCTTTGATTCTCAGGATTTATTCAATCTGATTTGTTCTCATTGTTTATTAATCTGTTCTGATGAAAGATAGAGTGTCTCAGTCCTCTTGATTGGTGTATATTTAGTTGTTCAGAGAAATTTACATCAGGATGAACTTTGCTACTTGCTGGTACACTATGTTCAAGAAAATACATGATGAGGTGGATGGAAGACTTTCACAATTCTAGTGATGAAGTTCCTGGTATTTATAGATACACTGATTATTAAATCAATGTGTAAAAATCCTACCTTCCCTTTTACAGCTGCAAGATCTTCTTAAAACCCTCGACCACAATGCTTGATGAGTTGCGTTATGTTATAGCAATAAAGAGACCAACGGCTTCAGACCCGACCCCTGTTGTTGGGCGTCGCAAGTTCACTCCAAGGTAAGACGTGTTTTCAGTTTCCTTGAGTTTTATCTTTTCCTAAATAAAATTGTTTTGGAAGGAGTGATATATGTTTAAAAAAAAATCTTTGGTCCTTGCTTGAGGACTTAAGTTTATCTGTAAAGTGTTACCCACTGGGTACTGTGGGTAATAATTGTAGGTTACTGTTTACCATGGAGGAGTTGATGCTTTTGTGAAGGATCATGATTTTAAGTATGTTTAAAAGATAATGGTGATTGTGATGATGGCGGTTGTGATGGTGATTGTTATTGCTGTTTTTATTTCTATTGTTATTATTATCATTATTTATCTGCTCCAAGTCTTTGTCTTGTGCGCTCATTATAATTTTTTTTACTATCCTGTGTACTTTTTGCAGTGAATTCCTTTGCCGGGGCCTCTCCAACTTGCAGAAGCCAGTGCAGATGTCGAGCGTAAAGGCAGAGAACAAGGACGACAGTACGGAAAAGAGTGGAACCAGCAAGGAAGAGGCAGCACCAGTCGATCCTCGGGAAGAAGAACTAAAGGTAGCAATTCAACATCGACAGAATTTGAGATTGATAATGCTGATTCTGTAAACATGTTGACACCTGGATAGCATGTACATGCCATGTCCGCTGTGATTTTAGTTTACTTTAGTTTTTGTTTAGACTTCACAAGAGCTTAGTCACCATGAAGTCAGTTACTTATCCTATTTATTTCACCTGTTTTTTTCCTACACCTTGATTTTAAGGAAATTAAACCAAAGAACCTATTTTGTTGCTATTCACATTGTTAACATTGTAATAATCATAATTTGTGGAACCATCTTGATAAAGTTCATAAAACAAAACTAAAGTAGATGGTGCAATTACCCAGGTAACAGTGGTATTGTAACATGGGAAGGATGTATGTGCAAAAACTAACTAGAAATCATGTGGCATTGAATCTCTCTGTCTCTCTAATCTGTCTCTCTCTCTCTGTCTCTCTCTCTCTTCTCTCTCTCTCTCTCTCTCTCTCTCTCTCTCTCTCTCTCTCTCTCTCTCTCTCTCTCTCTCTCTCCTCTCTCTCTCTCTCTCTCTCTCTTCTCTCTCTCTCTCTCTCTCTCTCTCTCTCTCTCTCTCTTCTTGATCCTTTGATCCATATTTTTTTATTATTATTATTTTTTTCAGGTTAAACTGTACCAGTCATTGATTGAATTGCGTAACCAACTGGGAGAAGAGACTGGATTCATGCCGTACTTGGTAGCCACAAACAGGGTCTTGCTGCAGCTCGCTCAGACCAGACCATCGACACTTAGTACATTGCGCAAGAGTAAGCATTTTTTTTATGTTCTGAAATCTGATGTGGATGTTTTATAAAATGTAATAAAAAACAACTTGAAAAATTTAGGATTAGAGTGATGAAGTACCTCTAGTATATGATGAAACGTTTGATTTGTTATCATGCATGATTTTATAAACACACACATTTTGTATTTTCATTTCAGCTGAAGGCATACCTGAAGTAAAGGTGCAGAAATTTGGTCCTGCAATAGTTAAGCACATTAAAGAGTTTTGTATGAAACATAATCTTTCATATCAAAGTGAATGTGATGATGGGAAGGATTTGACAAACGTAAGTGTGGGTTAACCAGGAAGCCGCAGTGTTTTAGATGTTAGTTAATTTTGTGGAATATTTTAGGAGAAATTATTCCATTTATTTGTTATTTTTGGAAGATATGCACAAAATATAATTAGAATTTAGTGTAGTCATATATCTGTAATTCTTTTTTAACTGGATCTTCCTTCTCTGCAGGAAGTAAGAAGTGCAAACGCATAATGAGTTTCTGGCAAATATATGTATTATAAGAAGCTAATAAATAATCTCCCCTTTCAGAGCAAAGATGAAGAATCAAAACCATCAACTAGCAATAAAGCTAGCAGTTTTGTATCATCCAAGAAGCTCTACACATCGCAGCCTTCTCTGGATACTTTTAAATATAATCCCTCAAAGGCCAGTAATTCATCAGGCTGGATATCGTCCAAAGTCAAGGTTTCCAAATCTCCATCACAGGAGGAAGATTCACAAGAGGACAAAGGACTGCCGATTATGAGGGAAGGTGATGAGGATACCCAGGGAGGCAGTGTGAGAAATCATTCCAAAGAGGCAGTGAGTCAGTTGAGCAAAGGGACTAAAGGCACAGCATCATCGCCCAGTAGAGATAAGGATAGATGCGGTAATGTTGAAGAAGTTGGTACAAACAATGAGGATGCCAAATCAAAGTATTTCGTTCCCAGCTTGGACTCATTAGACGCTGATGCTGATTTCTTTGAAGCAGAAGAAGAAGACAGCAATAGCAACAGCTTCTTCAGTGGTCAAAAGAAAAAAGATACCTTGTTAGAAAAGAAAAATAATGATTTGGATCATAAAACTGGAGACAGCAAAAAAGACAAAGATGACAGTAAACCAGCACTGGATAGATCACAGTCATTCGCCAAATCAAAACTAGCCCCAAAGAAAAGAGGAATCGCATACGATGATACTGACTCAGAGAAGGAAGAAACAAACTCTCAGGATTCACAGGAGAAATATGAACGCATTCTGGCTGACACTAAAAAGAAAATGGAATCAAGTGGCTGGATTGATGCAAAAAGGATGAAAAAGAAGATGAAGAGCAATTCACTGTTTAAAAGATAAGTTAGACAGAAAGTGAAGAGTAATTCACTACTTTGAAATGTTATCCAGATACCCAGTGGCCATTTTTCAGTCAAAGAAAGGCAAGATTTCAATGGTATAGTAGTAGACCTTATGGAAAAAACATTTGCTGAAAGGAAAAAGTACAACTTGTGTTTATAGATATTAAGATTACATTTCATGTTTTATATTAATGTAAAATATACTATGGCATAAAACATATTTAGTTGTATTTATTTAACATTTTGGTAATAAATATAGAAACACTACAAATGAAGTTATCATATTCCTTTGTATTATGGAGAAGAGTGAACAATAAATACTATATTTTTATATTTTGAGTTGATTGAAAAGGAAGTTATGAAAAAGAAAGGGAATTAAAGGAGTAGGAGGGGGAAGAGGAGAAGGAGAAGAAGGAAATAGAGAAAGAGAAAGAGAGAGAAAGGGAAATGGAAGGAGAAGAATGAGATGGAGATGGAAGAGAAAGAGACAGTAAAAGAAAGAAAGAGTGTGTGATGTGTGTGTGTGTGTGTGTGTGTGTGTGTGTGTGTGTGTGTGTGTGTGTGTGTGTGTGTGTGTGTGTGTGTGTGTGTGTGTGTGTGTGTGTGTGTGTGTGTGTGTGTGTGTGTGTGTGTGTGATAGAAAGAGATAGAGAGAAGTGAAAGTGAAAGAAAGAGGGAAAGGAGGAAGGTAGAGAGAGAAGAGAGAGAGAGAGAGAGAGAGAGAGAAGAGAGAGAGAGAGAGAGAGAGAGAGAGAGAGAGAGAGAGAGAGAGAGAGAGAGAGAAGAAGAAAGAAAGAAAGGGAGAGCAGAAAGAAAGAAAGGGAGAGCAGAAAAAAAGGAGAGAGCGAAAAACGAAAAGGCGAAGGAGAAAGAAAATAAGGGAAAAAGAAAGAAAGGAGAAAAAAAAGAAAGAAAAGGAGAAAAGGAAAACGAAAGAAGAGGGTGAGAAAGAAAGAAAGAAAATTGCTGATGTTACTAGAACAATTACACGTTTCAAACATTATCAACAATATTTCAATAAAAAAGGCTCGTAATATAATCAAACTGATTACATGAATTTTTTAAATGATACCAAAGAATATAAATTTAGAAGGGAGAGGATATGGAAAGGAAAACACGAACATTAATTCAATTTATTCACACTTTTTTCAAGACAAACAAGTGTAGCTTTTTATAATCAACAGATAAGATGGCTCATGAAAGTACTTTGTGACATACAGTATGAGTCAACACATATGTGAGGGAAAGATATTTATTTTTTAAGGATTGCAACAGGGATCATGTAGACGTATGATTGTACGCACACTGCTATTTTACATTTACGCTACCTTTGACACAACTCTCTTTTGTATTGTAAAACAGATGAGCAACTATCATATAAAACAATCCTTTTTTTTACAATATTAAACTAATTTGCAAATATTCAGATTTTCAAAATTGCAACTGAAAGAAGACAAAAACCGTTAGTTTTAAATAGTTTTAGAGTAGTAGTGTTGACTGTTGATGCAGCAGATGATTTTAAAATTATCGTTCTGTATGATTACCTTTGGGATATGCTTGGCTTTGGATAATGGCAGAGAGCGACAGGAGAAAAGTAACAGGAATGAAAAGAAGAGAGACAAAGAGAGGAAGAAGAAGAGGGAAAGGGAGAGGGAGAATGAGGGAAAAGGGAGAGGGAAGGAAGGAAGGAGGGAGGGAGGGAGGGAGGGAGGGAGGGAGAGAAAGAAGAGAGAGAGAGAGAGAGAAGAGAGAGAGAGAGAGAGAGAGAGAGAGAGAGAGAGAGAGAGAGAGAGAGAGAGAGAGAGAGAGAGGAGAGAGAGAGAGAGAGAGAGGGGGGGGGAGTAGGAAGGAAGGAAGGAAAGATGGAAGACAGAGGGAAAGAAAAAAGAAGGAAGAAGAGAAGGAAGGAAGGGAGGAAGAGAAGGAGGAGAGGGAGGAGAGGAGGGAGAGGGAGGGAGGGAAGACAGAGAGAGAGGGAGAGGGAGAGAGAGAGAGAGAGAGAGAGAGGAGAGAGAGAGAGAGAGAGAGAGAGAGAGAGAGAGAGAGAGAGAGAGAGAGAGAGAGAGAGAGAGAGAGAGAGAGAGAGAGAGAAAGGTAGAGAGAGAGAGAGAGAGAAATAGAGAAACAGAAGAAATCGACCTATTCCATTCACAATCCCTTGGCCAGTCAGCGTAGACTACACAAATGTTCCAGTAATAATTATTGAGCAGTAACCTGAAATATCACAGATGAATCTTGTAGTTAACAGCTGGAGTTACACAGAAAAAAAACAACACTTTACATCATAATCTACAAAAGTCTGGATACATGCGATATAAAGTAAATTCATTAGACAAAATAACAGCTACAATCTAAATAAAAATCTACAATGAAGGGATATAAGTTGATTCAAATACTTTTCTTATGTATTATATTTAACTCACATAGACGATTAGATACTCATATTTCGAAAAGTAATAATAATAACAATAACAACAATAATGAATGTATGTTAAACATTTAGTGATACATTTTTTGTAGTAATATAGTGTAACAAATATTTTATTGACAATATTAATATATTAAAATTCTGTTTTTTTTACTAGTTATCATTTGTATTGAAACTTTTTTTTAGTCTTAAATCTACAGTTGTGCTAAAGTAAAGGACACGGACACACACACACACACACACACACACACACACCACACACACACACACACACACACACACACACACACACACACACACACACACACACACACACACACACACACACACATCTTTCGAATATAAATGCACGCATGCATACATACCCACTCGCATTCTACAGCCTCTCATCTGCATGCATTCGGGAAGTCATTATCAATAAAATGCCAAACTCTTTTCATTTTCCTTCACACAAGATAAACCATAACAATGTGATTGAAACTAATCCGAACGTTGGTATTCAAAAGGAAATAATATATTACAAATCTGTCACAATAACAAATTTACTTTTCTCTTCCTTTACGCTATTCTCATTAAGAGCATTCGTATCACATGAAAAATATATACCTTATGCACAGACAACTTCTAAAACAAGATGTATAATAAGCTATATGATATATCCGCATTCCCAAATATATATATAATCCCTAAATCATCATATGCTGTATATATACAATGCAGTGTACATACCCAGCATAAATACACTGAAACTCAAACGCACCAATTGTTTTCATAGATCTCCGAAAACCTCAAAGGGACCGAAAGAGGGAGACGGAAGGGCAAGTAATGAAGAATTTATGGGGATTGACACGAAAGAATGGGGAAGCGAGGGTGGGGGGAGAAGGGGAAGGAAAGAATGTGGGATAGAAGGACGGATAATGAGGGAGGAGAGAAGGGAGGGGGGGGGAGAATGAAGGGACAGAGAGAGAGAGAGGGAGAGAGGAGGGAGGGGGAGGAGGGAGGAGGGAGGAGAGAGGGAGGGAGAGGGAGAGGGAGAGGGAGAGAGAAGAGAGAGAGGAGAGAGAGAAGAGAGAGAGAGAGAGAGAGAGAGAGAGAGAGAGAGAGAGAGAGAGAGAGAGAGAGAGAGAGAGAGAGAAGTAAAGAGAAAGAAAGACAAGTAAAGAGAGATTATGGGAATGAGAAAAGGGAATAGGATAGAGGGAGAGAATAGCAAGTAATAGGGGGTGCGGAATGAGGAGAGGAATGAAAGGGGGAATAAAGAGAGAAGTAACGGAGAGTTTAAAGAAAAAGATAAGAAATAGAGGGGTAATTTGGTGGAGGAGGGGGGCATGGGGGACAAAGAGTGGGGGAGGAGAGAGGGGAAGTAAGCGTAAGAGAAAAAACAATTAATGGGAATATAATGGAAAAGAAGTAAAACTAGTACGGGAAGTAATGATAAAAGAAAAAAAAAAAAAAAAAAAAAAAAAAAAAAAAAAAAGAGGTAGAGGGACACTTAATAAAAGAGGAATTGGACACGAAAAAGGGTTAAAAAGCCGGATAAAGAAGAAAAGGACAATAAACGTAAAAATAAGAAGAATAAATGGGGCTTTCGAAGTAAGAAGGAGTGGGGTTCGAAGAGGGAAGGAAGGAAAGAAGTGAGAGAGAGAGAGGGCGGGGGGGGGGGGGGGGGGGGGACGCAATCACCCCAGCCATTGATTACCTTCCGGCGCGGTCAGTCGTAAGCCCCGCCCACTCGCTCACTCATTCGACATTCTTGGCCTCATTCTGTTCTAGGGATCTTCTCATCAATGAGAAATACGGCTTACACATTTACGAGAGTTTGTACATATCACAAGGTTCAGGTGTGCATGCTTTTCCTGAATGTGGTCTGTTTAGCATTATTTTTACGTGTATGTTGTATATGTATTGTGTGTGTGTATATACATATGTATACACACACACACACACACAACACAACACACAAACACAACTATATATATATATATATATATATATATATATATATAAATATAATAATGTGTGTGTGTGTGTGTGTGGTGTGTGTGTGTGTGTGTGTGTTGTGTGTGTGTGTATTGTGTAGTGTGTTGTGTGTGTGTGTGTGTGTGTATGTGTGTGTGTGTGTGTGTGTGTGTGTGTGTGTTGTGTGTGTGTGTGTGTGTGTGTGTGTGTTGATGTAGTTGTGTATCATATGTACATACATATTATATTTTACATATACATACATATATACATCAACACCCACACGCACGACATACATATATAATATATTATATATATATATATATATATATTATATATATACATACACACACACACACACACACACACCACACACACACAACACTTATATATATAATATATATATATATATATTATATATATACATACATCATACATACATATTTAAACACGCACGTATGTCTGTCTGTATACATACACACATGTTCATATATATTGTAAATGCGTTTTATACACGTTATGCATTGCTCAGCTTTTCGTGTCAACGGCGTAACTGTCTTAATTTCAGAACCAAACCTTCTGTTTTGAACAACTGAACATACGATGAACACGGTGCACTGTAATTAACCTTATCTCTCTCTATGCACCGCCGGTTACGCCGCTGCCACATAAATACAAGTCTACAATATACTTACACGTATTCTAGAGCTTACTTAAGGTACATAGGCACAGCCTACAGCAAGGCACATTTCAACACGTTATTTATATTTTCTACCACGAAGATCTAGCCATAATAAGCGCAGAATGTCAGCCTCTTCAGGTAAAATGTCAGA